ATAGGAATTAATAAAAAAATTAAAAAAAAATTTAAGAATCCCCCACAAATATACACTTTTTACAGTGTACAAAATTCAACTCCAACACTTGACTTATAACGTTTTTTTGTGCCTGCTCACCTTTAACACAGCAAATATTTCGTTTAAATGATAATGAAAATTATTACGAACAAATGTTCTTAGTATACGATCACGTCGTGTTTCGTTAAAACCAAATTCCAAATCTTGTGCACTCAAATCCAGATACGATTCCACTGAGGTAAGGCAAAAAATGAGGTCGCGTTTCGGAAAGTTTGCAAATTCAATTCCTGATGTACTGTTGGTGGAGAACGAATAAAAACAGTTGAAATACACAAATATTGAAAATGTATTTGTTTTCGAAAAAAAAAATATATTGATTTAAATACAGAATAATGAGTTTTTAAAAGGATTAGGGTGGTTTTTAAAACTAAAAATAATTTAATTAAAAGCTATTTTCGAAATCGTACAAAATAAAATTGAGTCGGAATTGAAGAATTTGAGTTGGCAAGCTTGGCAAGTTGTTTTTTTTAATGAAAACATCTATTGTCTAGTCCTATTCTTCTCAAGTATTAGATAAAAACTGTCAATATTTTTGCAATACAAAAAAGGTTAAAAATATGTTCGAAAAATGAGGGTCGAATTTGAAAAAAAATTGTATTTGGTTGAAAATTGAATTTTATTTCCTAACTTATTTCAAAAATTTTAAAAACTTGAATTCAAATTCAAATTTTATGCATTATATCGGTAATTAGAAAATTTTCGAAATGGGTTTTTTCAATTAAAATTGTAATATTTTATAAACTTAAATTTTTGGGCTTTAAATAGTGACCAAAATGGGAAATTTAAAGTTTTGAAGTAAGATCGAAAATCAGATTTCGAAGAAAAACAAATTGGGTCATATTCGAAATTAATTTAACGATTTCATATTATTTTATTTAATTGTAATAACTTGCAATTTTCTAAAAATATTTTGGATAATTTTGATATCCGAAATTAATTTTGCGATTTTACTTAAAAATTGTAATAAGTTGCAACTTTATAACAATATTTCGAACAAATTTTGAGTATTTTTTTTCTATTAAAAATGTTGAAAACCATTAGAATTTTAAATAAACTGTAATTTTTCGACCTTAATACGTGACAAAACAGTTAATTAAAATTTTTAAGTTTGGTTTAAAATCTAAATGGATGAATTTCGAAAATTTTTTTCAGTGAAAACTTCTATGGGTCATATTCGAAATGCATTTTCACGTTGTAATTTAAAAAAATTTAAAAGCTTGAACATTATAGCGGCGTATAGAAAAACCATGAGAATACGTGTTTATAATAATTTTCGAAAATTATTTTTTCAGTTAAAATTGATAAAAATCGTTAGAATAAGTGTTTATAATAATTTTCGAAAATTATTTTTGCAATTAATTTAAAAACCGCTAGAATACGTTATAAACTTTAATTTGTGAGTCTCAATCTGAAATCAAAACTGTGATTTTTAAAGTAAAGTCGGAAAATAAAGTTCAAATTGGATCATAAATCGCTTTGGAGAAAATTGAAACTTATATGTTGATGAAAACCACATATGGGTCAAACTCAAAACTAATATTTCGAGTTCAATTCAAAAATTTTAAAACGTTACTCTTATAACGGTGTTTAAAAAGCCGTGAATTTGAATTTTTAAAATAAGACCGAAAAATTAAGTTCGAATTCCCTCATAAATCTATTTGAAGATGTTCGAAACTCATATGTATATGAAAAACCCATATTAGAAATTAATATTTCTAGTTTAATTAAAAAATTGTAAAAACGTCATCTTTGTAACGGTGTTTAAAAAACGGTAGGACCGAAAAATAAAGTTCGAATTCTATAAATAATCTATATGAATGAGTTTCAAAATTAAATTTTTTTCGCATTCCAACATTGTTTTTATCAATTAACATTTTATGCAAAACATATATTATTATTTTTTTTTATCACAAAGATGAAATAAATATTTTGTTATTGATTTGAAGCCAAAATTTGCATTTTTCTTTTAAAAAAAATTTCGCATAATTTTCGAACCACCTTTATGAAAAAATATTTTAAGCACTTAGTTACCTAACAATAGCAGAACCTAAAGGCAACGATAATTCTCCAATTGGATCGGTATTCGGCGATATGACTGTGCCATCGATGAAAGGCGCAAATCCGCTCAAAAATCTGCAAGAAACATTGGCTTTATTTCAAAAATATCTTTACTTTACAATACCAAACAAAAAACTCACCGCGGATGATCGATTTTCACGGCTAAGAGCTCAGCAACAGTTTTGGTGCGCAGACAAGGTGCCAAATCATCGTACAACATATCGCCATGACAACCAGTCTGTTCGGCAACACGACGCTTCACAAACAATGGATTCTTTTGTATGGCCCACGGTGAGAGCGCAGAGCCGCTAACCAACACTGCGCGCTGTACCAGATCTACAAAAAAGAATTTCATTAATTTTGCTCAAGGAAATCATTCGACTTTAGGCGAAAATAGCGCACTTACCGCTTGCCACAGGTGAAACCATCAATATGTTGGCTAACGCTGCGCCCGTGCTATGCCCGAGCAATGTTATGCGCTGTGGATCACCGCCGAAAGCGGGCAGATTTTCCTTTAGCCAATGCAAACCAGCTACGAGGTCCATTAAGCCGAAATTGCCTTGCGCGCTCTCTTTCCCACCCGTTTTCAGGAATCCAAATATGCCGAGGCGAAAGTTAATCGTCACTACGACGATATTACCATGCGCCGATAATTCCGAACCATCGTATGGATTGCCCGAATTCCATTCATATGATTCACCATGTAGTAGTAGTACGGTGGCGAGTAGGTTTGGAGGATCGTGCGTGTGCTCCATACTGTTGCTGCTGGTGGAGCCTGTAAGATGAGATTATGGGTTTAACTAAGGTATTTTTTTACATCAATGAAGTAGATTTTTTTAAATTATTGCAATTCACATGAATTTATATCACTTTCAATTTATAGATTCTGATTTTTTATAATAAAAGTCAGGCTAGTTCACATCGAGGAGCTTTAATCAAACATTTATTGACATCTTCATTAGCGAATGAATTCATAACTTCCGTAATTATGCAGTCGCCAAACCAAACTCTGGCGGCTGCTTTTCTGCTCATATACCGGCGAGGGAGTGGTGGTTGGGAATAAGCCGTTGAAGGAGAGAGGCAGGGAGCTCTTTTACGGATGGGTCAAAGCTTTGGGGGAAGGTTGATGAACGGATTCATTATCAGCAATTTTTTAGAAACTCCAGAGTCAGATTTCCCGACTATTGTCTTTGTGATAAGATTGGTATAGGTGCCAGGGTACAGTGGAATCGCAGGAAATTTTAAAGCTGATGAGCTAGCAAAAAAATGCACCCAGATCGATCGTCAGAGATCTAGTGATCTCTTTGCACTCAGTAAGCCTAGCCTTTTCCTATTTATGGGACTTTTAAAAGGTCTTTGCGATATTGGCGCCCACGCAGTAAAGCTGGGAATCCTACCAGATACTATCTGCTGAAGCTGTATGGAAGCAGGTGAGGTGGAAACAACCCATCACTTCCTTTTTGGCGTCCTGTGTTTGGGAGATCAACACTTAAACACTTGGGAGCGCATACCTTCAGACATCCCACCGAACTGGAGGGCATGGAAATTAAACGAAAAGTAATAGGACTGATTTTCTTTCGCCGCGACTGTACTTCCGAGCGAGCGCGCACCGACTGGATTCGGTAGAAGGCGTTCGTAGCTAACAAAGGAGTGGTTGGTCAGTTGTCTACGAGCACCTGGAGAGTCAGGACAAACAAATTTTCGCGCGACGTATTTCTGTAAGTGCTGCAAGCCGAAAATGCAGCGTCCGTTAGAGCAGAGGTACGCAATTAAATTCTGTGTGAGACTTGGTAAATCTGCGGCAGAGACATTTGATATGAGCAAGCAGGCTTACCAAGATGTTGCTCTAGCAAGAAGTGATGTGTTTCGGTGGCACCACGTCTTTTTGGCGGGAAGGGTAAGAATGAGCAAATTCAATTACTCATTGCCTTTTTTGACATCAAAGGCATTGTCCACCATAAATATGTTAATCCTGGACAAACTCTCAACGCCAAGTTTTACGTGGAGTCCTCAAGAGACTCAATTGGAAGTTGAACCATGATAACGCTCCGGTTCACATCGCCTTTTTTTGTGAACAGCTACTTAACCAAGAGTGGATATCACTTCCGCAGCCGCCTTATAGCCCAGATGTGGCCCTCCCTTACTTTTTTTTGTTTCATGGCCTGAAAAGGCCGATGAAAAGTAAGCATTTTGAGACGTCAGAGGGGATCCAAGCAGCATGTACCTCGGCTATCAAGGCTATTTAGGAGAATGCCTTCCGCGACACCTTCAATGCTTGGAAATCGCGCTGGCAACGCTGCATCGACGCAAAAAGAGCTTATTTTCAAAGTTTTTAAAGGATTTTTGTTTTTAAAAAACTACGGACAATAAAGCCCCAACTGACTGTCATGTAACGGTGATATTTAAAACGGACTAAAATGCGACATTTTGTAGGTTGAAAATGCACTCTATTTGATTTTTCGTAGAATACTTTGCCCTATATGCTTGTATATGTATAGCAAATATTTTTCGTTAAATACTGAATTTTAATTTTCTTAGTTCATATAATTTGAATTATTCACACTTTTAAAATATTCAATTACGCTGTTTGCCGCTAGGGTATTATCACTTCCACAATGCTTGCAGTAATTGCAACAACAAACTGCAATGCACTACGGAATTGATGACTCCTTAGCGTTGCCCATAACAATATATACCATGCAACTATTATTATTATTGTTATTATCATTTATTCTGACTATTATCACATTAAATTAAATATATTTTATATACGATAATAATAGAATTTTATCGCATCTCTACTTACGTCTTTTACGTCGATTTTCATATGGAACATAAATATTTAAGTATAAACAGTCTTCCGATTGATTGCTGAGTAACGGTAGCAGACGTCGCAATTGCGCCAACCGTGCTCGCGGCACTTCTAACAACGCCTCGGGGCCATTGGGCGGTATGGGCACCGTTTGCGGGCATACGGGCGAGAAGCGATCTGCATTCCGGACATTCTTCCAAGTGGATGGCGTGATGGGTGGCATGAATCTGGCAATGGTGGGTAATGAAAGAGAAATTTTTTTCATAATTTTTTGGTATGTGAAATATAGGCAATTTTTGTTTTTTGAAAAATTATGTTAAATTAAAAAATTTATTGGAAACAATAAACAGCTAGTACTGCAAAATTTTAGGTAGTTGAAATAAAAAATGCACTAGTTCAGTAGAGTTTAGTAAGGTATATAATTTTTATCGAAAATTAAGTTTTTTTAAATTTTAAATCGTAACATAGCTTCCTCCTTGATATTTTAAATGATTCTGCACAGCTATTGTAAGACCAATTCTACTCTACGGTGCTGTATTATGGTGAACACGGGTACGGAAATCCCCCTACCGGAAGCCAATGGAAAGGGTTCAGAGGCTGTCAAAGCTGTGCATAACAGGAACTTTAAGAACAACTCCAACAGTGGCTTTTGAACTGGACCTCTTCGCTGAAAATTGCGCTAAAAAAGAAGTCTTGCCGACTTCTGGCGAAAGGAGAATTTACATATAATACTTTCGGGTATAGCTCTGTGGGTAATGACGGTTAGACAAACACCGACTACATGATTCCACTTTTCAACTGGGAAAGAAGGTACAAAGTAAGCGTAGAAAAAGATGGCTGGCGTAAAGGTATGTTAGCCACGTGTAAAACTCTAAATATATATATATATGGATGGATCGAAAAGGGACGATGGAGTTGGTGCGGAAATATACTGTCCAGAGTTAGGCATAAGGCAACCTTTTGTAGTATGTTGTCGGACCACAGCAGTATATGTATTTCAAGCTAAAGTCTTTGCTATTGTTAAAGCCGCGGTGCTGGCCTCCAATGCGCCTGCAGGCAATTCCAGAGTCAACTACTACATAGAAAGCCAAGCTGCAATCAAGGCAGTATCCTCCTATCGCATATGGGCCAGAAGTGGCTTGGAAAGCAGTGCGGCAGTGGAAAAAGTTGCCAGAAGCAAGTAACTTCACTTCTACTGAGTGTCAGGCCACAAAGGCATAGAGGGCAATGAAATAGTGGACGAGATTGCCAAGAATGGTGTACGGATAACATTTGAAAATGTAATTAATATTGGGAAACCTTTGCATTTTCTATACGCTTGGCAAAGAAAATCAAATTGTATGGAATGAACTACCCGTATGAACTACCAGGTCATGTGCAATACGGTAGGTCAGAAGTAAACAAGATATCTATTGGCACTCGATAGAAGATACTGTAGGTACATGTTGCGAATACTAACTGGTCACTGTCTGGTGGCGACACAAGCCCGCAGAATGGGGCTGACAGAACGAGAAGTCTTCAAGAAATGTCTAGAGCAGGGCACCAGGGAAACAATGAATCATCTCTTGTGCACTTTTCTCGCATTGGCAAGATTACGCTGTAAGCAACTTTGGTAATATTTTAAATAAAAAAAAACGGTGTATTTGGGATACAAGGTATGTTGATGTAAATAAAATTTCTTGAAAGATCGTGATAGTTTTTTTTTATACAGGATAATAATGAAACACCGAAAAACTTGACTATTTCTTTATGTTGATTTATTTGTGTGAAAAAATAGTTTACCCAAAAGTTGTAGATCTTTTTATTACCTACATCTTTGTCATATACATATGTATATTTTTATAGGTTTTGTGCTTAACCCATAAAATTTAACCATGCAGTTTCCCTTTTTCAGCCTCAGATCGCTTGTATTACGACTTACGAAAAATATCGGTATATTTCCGATATATCTTAACGAAAGTAAAAGGCATCTTTCTTTCTATGTTTATAATAAGATCTGGTACCAAGAATGGATAATTAGGATAGGAACTTCCCCTTGGCACTGTGAACCTAACAACATGACCGAAATATTTTATGAACACGTGAAATTCAAAGTTTTTTCTGAAATTTTGATTTATTTCTAAATTACTTGCGCATAATCGTTGCAAATGTTGGAAAAGGCTTACCGTGGTTTTGGTAGATATGTTGGGTATGAAACGTATATTACATCTGATGGGGCTCACTTTGAAGGCGACTAAGTAAATATTGATGAATAATTAAATATTTTGCTTCCAGTTATTTGTATAACGTACAATACATATAATAACATTTGCCGAATATTTTGATCAATGTGTGAGTTTTCTTGACAAAAAAGAGTGAAAATATGTGCTCTAGTATACGAGAATCCTTAACCCTAATATGCCCGATATAGTAATTTCCGACTTTCCAGCTGAGTTTAATTTTACATATTGATGAATACATGTGATATTTTAATTAAATTAAAGGAAAATATTTTCTGAAAAATAGTGAAGCGTCGAAAATTAAGAAATCGGCTCAGAGCTTGTACTAGCATTCAAGAAGCTATTGCTGTATTCACCCATATCGAAAAATTATTACATATCAGTATGGAAAACTTTTTCGTTTGACGACATATTTACTCGAAATTTGGCATTCTGAGTATATTGTTTAGATCGGACCACTATACCATATAGCTGCCATACAAATGGAAAAATTAATATCAAGTTCTTTTAAGTACAACTTTTTTTTGGCAAGATGTTTTCACAAAATATGGCATAAATTATTGTTCAAATCAATGGTTCAGTTTCCGCATAAATTGTTCAGATCCAACCACTATAGCATACAGCTTCCATACAAACTGGTCGATCACAATGAGGCTCCTGTATGAAAACTTTTAATTTGACAACATATCTTTACGAAATTTTGTATGGAGTAATAATTCAAAATAACGGTGAAATCTCCGAAAAAATTGTTCAGATCGGACCGATATAGCATATAGCTGCCATACAAGCTGGTCGATCAAAATCTAGATAAATCTTTTATACTTTCTTATGTTGTAAAAAATTCAGCTAAAAAGGATATCACAGTTTCGCTGTAACTGAAGTGACGATTTTCTTGCCTTTAGCCAATTAGTTTTTTAAATTTTTTTCTTAGCAATTTTACAGCAAATTAAACCAATATTTTAAGCAAATTTAATATTAGAATTTTTGAGCACTCACCTTAAGCTACCGACCGGCGGCGAGGCATATGGTATGCCCAAGTATGCTTCAACCATTGGACTCGAACGCACCACAATGCCGCGCAACAGACCGTATTTCGTCTTCACCGTATTCGCGCTAAATTTGACGCTGCCGTGAAAACACTCAGTGCCATGCCACAAGGAAGATAACAAAATCAACACAGTGAGTGAGCGATGTAACAACAACGGTAATGAGCGACACTGCCAACGCCAGCGGCAGACATGAAAGTAATTCGTAATGATAAAATGAAAGTGACAAAAACATTGCAACAACAGCGGCGTGATGATGCGCTGTGCGAAACCGCAAGTGATATTTGCTATTTTTTCTGCCTTCGGWTGTTGTTGTTGCTGTGGTTTTTGTTGTAGCTGCAGTTGCTGTGGTTCTTGATGTTTTCGTTGTGGCTCGAGCTGCTGTGGTTGTTGCTGCGTTTTTGCTTCTTGTTGTAGCTGCAGTTGAAGCTCCAGTCGCTGTGGTTGTTGTTTTAGTCGTAGCTGCAGTTGCTGCTGGGCCGACTGGCGCTTGAGTTGCTTCTGTGGTTGCGGTTGGGCGCGCGAATATGTCTGTGGTTGCGACAATGTGTGGGTGACTAGCTGTAGTTGTGGCTGTGCTTGTGGTGACAGCGCTGGTGCGTGCTTAGTTTGCGACGTCGACTGTGGCGGCAGCGAGGATGTTGTCAGTGACACTTCAGACACTCGCGCTTGCGGCGTTTTTCTTGTTGTTGGTGTTAACGCAGTCGTTGTTGTTGTCGGTGCTAATGTTGTTTTTGTTGTTGTTTTTGGTTTTAGCCTCAACATGTGCTTGGTGCGCGCTAAGCGACAGTCGACAACAGCCGCTGCAATGTCGTTGCTTCGGCAGTTTTGTAAACGCTTAAGAAATACATTTGATTGTTGCTTAGGAATTTGTAGAAATCTCTTTAATGATATCAGTCTTATAATGCAAATTCCTTGTATTACTAGTAGTTGTATGTGTAAGTGCGATAAATAGCTAAAGCTGACGCTGTCACTGTCACTACGCGCATTACGTCTATGTTTCTTCGATGAGCTACGGCGGCGACTGTGTCCTCTGCTTCTGCTTCTTCTTCGTTTTCTACTGTTATATGCTTTTTTGATTGCTGCTGCATTGATCGTTGTGTTTGTKTGAGGGCGGGTGCACGCGCTTGTGGTGAAAATGAGTTTAGTCGTTGAGGAGGGCGAATGCGGTAGATCAATTTTTGATTTTTCTGCTAGTGCTATTGTTGTTGTTTCCGCAGTGCAAGTTGTTGTTGTTGCTAATGTTGCTAGTTTCACAACTTCGGCTGTTGTTGGTGTAGCTAATGATTTTCGTCCAGCTGTTGTAAATGTTGTTGTTGTTGTTGTTGTTGCAGCTGTCGATAGTGATGTTGTTGTTACTGCTGCTATTTCTGTAGTTGCAACTTTTAATTTTGTTGTTGTTGCAGCCGCAAATGTTTTTGTTGTTGTTGCTACTTCTGTTGTTGCAACTTTTAATGTTGTTTTTATTGCTACGCCCAATATTCTTTCAAGTTTTCCCACTTCTCTTGTTGTTGTACCACCTTGTGTTGTTGTTGTTGTTGCACTAACTTCTGTTGTTCTTGTTATTGCTCTTGCTATTACTGGTGCTTCTGTCATTGTTGCTGTGGCATTTTTAGTTTTTGTTGTTGTTTCTGTATTTTTCCTGCCCGTTGTAGCAATTTGCATGGTAATAAGGCAGCTTGCAACATACTCGATAATCAAACACTTCACCAACAACACACCGGCGACCAAATGCCGCTGCAACAACAAACACAAAAGCACCCACACTGCATGCAATTTGTGCCACTTACTGCCCTTGTGTTTTTCTTCGCCGTTATTGTTGTAGCTGCCAGCCACTGTATGCCGATTACGCTTCGTGTCGCTCAATATTCGGTCACAGCTGCCACCGTGACTGATTGGTTTTACAAACATCAAGTCATGGCAGTTGATTTCGGCGTTGATGTTTGATTTGGGCGCACCAACGCTAGAGCTACGACGGTGGCTGCAGTTTGTGGAGCAGCTGGTGCTACATGGCGTATACGCAACATAGTTTGTGTGCTGTTTTGTGCTGCTTGCTATTGGCCTACCTGACGTATACGCAACCTTTGCTGAGGTTGGTTGACTTGTGCCTCTACTTGTTGTTGCTGTTGGTTGACTTCTGTCTCCACTTGTTTTAGTTGTAATTGTCACTCTTCTGACACTATCTCTGCTGTGTCTACATGGCGTATACGCAACATCATTTGCAGCCGTTTGCTTGTCGTTGGCGCTGCTTCCTCCTCTTCCACCACCACTTTTGCTGCCCCCGGTCGTAAAGTAATTAAGTATAAGCATACAGTATATACGCAAGAGATTAAAGTAAATATTTAGTTGTCTGATAGCTGATCGCCGGTCAGCGTTGTATGCCGTAGCTGTAAAGGTAAACGGCAACGGCCAATATGCCAGTGCACGCTGGCGCCACAACCATTGTCGACGACGCTGCCACAACCAAGTCCAACGCCAGTAGCACAACTCCACTGTGTGGGGGGTGTTAGTGGTACCGTAATTGTTGCTGGCGGTGCCGTTATTGCTGCTGTTTGTGTTGTAGTTTTTGTTTTTGTTGTTTTTGTTAATGCATTTGCCGTACCAACGGCTGTGCGTAGTTATTGATGTTGTCGCTGCTTCTGCTGCCGCGGTCGCCTCGGTCAAGTCAGCTTCATTTTCACCGTTGTCGTGTGTAATGTCAACTTCGTGCGTCGCACTTTTAACGACATGCTGTCGCCGCGATACTTTGATTTCAAATATTATATAATTTATGCAGTGCGTTCGTTGCGTTCAAAAAATATTTGTTATTAAATTTTTAGAATTTTCTTGCTTTGTGTGTTTTTTTTGTTTTTGTTGCCTTTTTTAGTTGGCTTTCCGCTGCTTTGTTGCGTTTTGTTGTTGCTGCGTAATTACGGTACTCTTCCGTTAGCTATACTTTTAGTTCGAAATTATTTTTGTTGTAATTTATTTTTTGTTGCTGTTTTTATGTTGCGTTACTGCAAATTGAAAGCGAAAATGAGGGGAGAAGTATTAGAATAAAACCCGTTGCACTTAATTAAACAACTTTTTAGTTCGCTTTGTTGTTGTTTTATTACAATTTTATTTTTATTTTTGCATTTGTGTGTGCTTGATGTATGTGTGTGTGTGTGTTGTGTGTAATGAATATTGCAGTTGTTGTTGGTGTTGTCTATGTTGTTGGTGACACCTTCTCGGCAGCGAGTTTGAGTGCAGACTGTGCGACCGAGATTAGTTGCACCAGCTTAAGTAGCCTCGGCAGCGGCAGTTTGGTCGGCATGCGACCGCATAATAGTGCCGTAGCCATCAGCAATGTTCTTAGTTGTGTGCATAATGCAAGACGGTAAGTAATGGGCATATATTATGGGGTGCTGAGCGAGCAGTTGTTGGATGTAGAAACTATTATAATTATATATACATATATATATATATATGCATATACGTATATTTAAGTTGTTGAAAACTTAAATACTTATGTATATAAATATGTATTCATAGAACTGTATACGTGCACAAACAAAAAGGTAAGGAAATTAATTTTGATGGGTCAGTTTGTATGACAGCTATATGCTATAGTGATCTGATCGAAATAATTTTTCCGAGATTTAACCGTTTCTCAGTTCATGCAAAATTTAGTGCAGATATCTTGTAAAATTGAAAAGTTTTCCATATATGAACTTGATTGTGAGCGTTCAGTTTGTATGGCAGCTATATGCTATAAAACTCCGATTTTAAAAAATTTGTTACGAGTTTGTAGCGTTGCTTTAGACAGTAATCTGTGCTAAATTTTGTGGTGATATATCGCCAAATAAATAAGTTTTCCATAGAAGTACTTGATTTTAATCGGTATGTTTGTATGACAGCTAAAAGCTATAGAAATCCGATCTAAACTGCTTCTTCGGATATTATAGAACTAGTCTTGAAAATAATCCGTGCGAAATTTTGTGACGATATCTTGCTAATTTGAGAAGTTTTCTATACAAGGACTTGATTTTAATCGTTGTGTTTGTATGGCAGCTGAAGGCTACAGTAGTTCGATATCGGTGTTTTCGGCAAATAAGCAGTCTTCGGACGAGAAAAAGATCTATGCAAATTTTCATATCGATAACTTATAAACTTAGTTAATAGTTCGTGTATTTGGACGGTCGGTTAGACAGCCAGATGGATATGTCTAAATCTACTCAGGTCACCACGTTGATCTATTACATATATTATATATATGTATTTATTATAAAAAATATATGTATTTGTAGAAGGAGAAGATATATATTATAGATTCTCCAAAGTATCCTTCTGTGTATTACAAACTTTGTACCAAACTGAATATACCCTGTCCATCTAATAAAAATTCACACACACAAACTTCTTTAACTGCTTACACACTTACAGACGCATGCAAGTCCAAACTTAGTAACTTACACATTTACATATCCATACACTTATACAAGTCGCACACAAACACACCACCTCAATACTTATATATGAAAGTATGCACCCATCATCAGCACTTGCGCTTTGCCATGCAAATGCGCTCTTGCTTGGCTTTGTGCGCGTGCTTAGCAGCTTCTGTATTCGCTCGGGTTTATAATTGTGCACTTAATTAAAACAAATAGTTCATTTGTCTACACAAATTGGCATTAGAAGTCGTCTATAAGTTGGGGGAATTTTGAAAATACTTTAAGCTAAATTAGAATCAACAAAGGTGCGCTCAAAAGTATGCTACAACTGCAGTGCGACCACAACTGCTTATAGGCGCTTGTTGAAATATTTTTGCAAAAACATTTATGAAGGAAGGGGTGGAGTTACGCAATAATTTGTTTGCTGTGAAATTAATATAACGGCAATATTTACCGTTGTGCGGTAAAAAAACACTGAATATTTAGTGTTGGGGGTACTTTTCAAGGTTTTGCCGGAAAAGCAGTGTGGCAGCTGACAATTAAGTTGATCGTAGGGGTAGGCGAAGGTCAAGAAGCGGAAAACAACAGTTGCCTTGAAAGCCACAAGTATTGAGTCTAAACAGCCATCTTGCCAAAATAGATAAATGACGACTGGCTAATAAATGTCCTTGTCAATAATTAGGAGTTTTAGGCATCACAGTAGATCGACGGTCTAAGCTGTTTAAGTGAGCTACTTGTTGTGGTTTACCTTATCGATCAGTTATCTGAGTTTTAAGAGCTAGTTAAAAATATCGGTGTTCTGATTGCTGCCATTAATCCGCGTTCACCTTCTTGAAGGAAATCACTGCCTTCTGCATAAAACTGTGTCAGCACTGTTCCTAAGTCTTTCATAATTTCACAATTTCTTGCAATTTTTCTACTATTAAAGCATTTAGAAGACAAAATATATTATAACAGTTGGAGTACCATAAGTACACCGTTTATATAGTTATAGATATATTTTTTAACCCTTGCTTATCCAGAAGTATGTAAATATGCTAACTCAGTGAAACAGACCTTTTGATATTCATGCCGATCACTTCAAAGCAACCAAATATTAAGATTTTGGATATGTTTGGCATAGTTGTTTCTATCCATTTTCAAGTAGAGATAAAAATCCTAAAAATAAGTGTGTTTAAAAGCTTCTTTAAAAATACATATATAAAATTGCTTTGGAATGATTTCAAATAGTAATTACATTATTACTTCAATGTAATGTAGGGTCTAAAGAAATCTCTCTGGCATATTTGTTTTCTTTTGAGATCATTCTCTGCCATCAAAACCGCTAGGGAAAGGCGATCGTTTATAAGTCCACTTTCCCTATATGAAATAATTGTGGGGTATTAGGAAATCTCTCCCAGTAAAAAAATAAAAAACTGCGTGAAATATGTATTTCGCAGCTCTTCGTAGGCATTGTTGTAAAGTGAGAGGCTGCGAAAGTTGCTATCAGACTCAGAGAATTTGGGTTTCTAAAATAATAGGTGTCTGAACACTCGGAAAAGTTCACACATTTTGACCTCAAACTGGTCGCCAAACCGAACTCTGGCATCACCTTCTCTGCTCAAATACAGGCGAGGGAGTTGTGGCTGGGAAGAAGTCAAAGATTTGGGGGAAGGTTGGTTGTAAGGAATTCTCTCTCAACTCCAGCTTCATAATTCCTGGCTATTGCAGTCTTTTTCAAGCCAAGGTTGCAGCCATTAAGGTGGCAGGAGATTTACTGCTTCGGAGTACAGTATCCTTCGGAGAAGTGACCACCCACTTAGATAACAGAGCGGCGATACTAGCTTTGAACTAAGTAACTGTTCGTACTGGGTTGGTCCAGGATTGCTTAACATCGCTATCAGTAGAACTTTCTATTTATCTTTAGTCTCTTTCTGATAAGACTGGTATTGGTGCCAGGCCACATCGGAATCGCAGGAAATTGTAAAGCTGATAAGCGAGCAAGGAAAAAGACCCTAGAACCCATATCGGTAGAATGCTCTCGTATCCTCTTGTTTTCTACTTTTAGATAGCTGAGCTTTGCTTAAGTTCGTCAAAGGCTGAGCCACTATCGGAACATGCGCTGTTACAAAAGCCCTATGGTCACAGATTGATCGCAAGTGGGCTAGTTCTATTCCTTTGAAATCAGTAAGGTCAATCTCTCTGTATATAAGGCTGAGAATATTACTAGACGTAATCTGCAGAAGCTGTATGGAAGAAGATGATGTGTAAAGACCTCAACACTTTCATCTTGACTGTGCCGCGTTTGAAGGATCAATACTAATACACTTGTGACCGCATACCTTCAGACATTTAGCCGAAAACTCGAGAATGGAAATTAAACGCCCGTGAAAATTTGCATTGGCTACTAAGCGTTTTACTAATTTAAATAGGATTTCTATTTTTCTGTGGCTTCCTAAAGGATTACATATAGCAGTCCACGTGTGATCTCTCTAGATCTATCTAATATAACCTAAGATT